TGTTGAGGCCGCCATTTCATTTGAATCAAATGTCAACACAGTTTGGATTCATCATCCATACCATAGCTGTCATCACAACCCTTCACTCCTTTAATTCTAAGTTTCATATTATTGTATCCATCAATAAAATTACTAATACATTTATTCTAGATTATGATTCAAGAAAGGTATTATATATTAATCGTATTTATCGATTTAAATATATTATAATGTTTGTCTCCGTTTCAAAAGTTTGTGTTGCACGCAAACCAAATTAAAAAATGCGAATGAATATGAGATTGCTTAAGCTGTAGTTAGTTTTGATAATCACTCAATGTAGGAATTGGTTATGATTAGACATGAAACGAAGCATGGTTGGAATTTGTATGATTTGATTATGGTGTAAGAAAGAGGCTTAGGTGTCGCTTTCGAAATGGGTTGCGTCTTTTTCTCAGTCTTCTTCATGCTTTCAAGACGCTCACGTCTTCGAATAAAACAAGTATTGGACTTAAAAAACAAAACTCCAATAGATGGTTGTTATGACAAAGACTAACCATGCATAGAAAAATGTTATAAATAAGGTTTGTATATAGTAACCTCTAAATTAATTAGTGTGGTCCTTAATTGGTTGCTAACTAATCATGTCAAATATTAAATCATCACATGCAAGTGCTCTAAGTATACCTATTATCATCGATTGGATGTTTGAAGAGATACTTACATTTATTTGGTTTTCCTAATATGTTAAATTTGAGTTTTATGAATATTAAAAATTTTGGTTGAGAACGAATATTTTGTATCACTCGTAAGAAGGAAAGTCATAAAAAACGGGATATAATGTGTGGTTGCAAATACCATTGGATTAAACTATATACTAATTCAATATGTAGAAGTTAGTTTTCATAATTGACACAGTATTAAAAAAAAATTATGTATTAAAAATGCCATTTCTATATTTGTACGTTTTAACTCAAAATTATATTTGTTTCTGTGTAATTAAAATTCTCTAAATTAAAATGTCCTTCTTAACCATACAAGCAAGGATCGACGTATTGAATAGCAAATAAAAATATCAAATCAAACAATTCTAAGTTTAAACTTGATTTGATATCAGTACCAGATCTATTAGACTTTATAATTATTTTTAATTTATGAAAAAAAAGATATTTCCTTGCTTTTCAAAGTTCTTAAGAAGTCATTATAATACAGTATTAGAAAAGCAAACATTAAATGCTTTAACGGTTTATTGGATTAATTTCACCTTCTATGATAGTTTGGCACTGAGAGTAATCTTTCTTATAGTTATGAATTAGTCAGATCAATAAATGAGTCAAAATTAAATAATTTAATTTAAAAATATTGATTCGATAATGTTCTACTTTATTCAAGTCATTTAAGTCTTACTGTATATATAGACCGTTGAAACGTAAGTATAATGTGGAGGTCCACCTTATTTAAATGGATAAATTGAAGTTTTTAAAATAGACCAGACTCACGTAACAGGATAAGACATGGGTGACTCTTTAATACCCTATATTAAGAAGGATTTCAAAACCACATACACTTTTAAAAGATTATATTATGCATAATTATCTAAATTGATTCTTGAAAAATTAGTGCACTTTAGTAACCCGTATTTGAATTTTGTTTTGATGAAATTAGATTCTTGAAAAATTTATCATTTTGTATTTAAGCTATTTCTTTATTTGGAATTAAATGTATGTATTTCTATTTTATTTTATATAAGTAAACATCATAAAAGTTTTAAATTTTTTTATGACAAATAAAAATGTCTAAAATCTACATTTTTCAAATAAAAATAAGGAGATTTCCCTCCTCATTGCAAGCAATTTTTATTTAAAATGCATCTCAAACTTTAGACATCAACATATATTACTCAAGGATTATACTAACAAATATATACTAAAAGAAGTTACTACAATAAAATTTGGGTCTAAATTATTTTTAGCTAATTTTAATAATTTTTATAACATACAATAAATAGTAAAATCACAAAAAATTATAGTAAATAGTTAGTTTTCTAATATGTAAGTAATTTGTAAAAACAAAAATTACACCAACGTCCAAATTTAGTGGAAACATTGCGTTCATTTGAATTCTTAAAATTTAGAATTTATGATTTAAACAATTTTACGTTATGGTTTGAATTCTGACTTAAACGAGTTATACTTATTTATAAAAATATTTTTGACATTTTTTTCTGTCTTTTTTATCTGATTATGACGTAAATTACATATGCTAGATTATTTGCATGTGAGCATTAATTTGTTTTTGTTGTTATTAAATTTAAAATAATAAGTTAAACGTGAGAATACTATTTATTATCAAAATCTTGTAGTGACTTTGTCGTTTGTTTTTTTTTATCAATCTTCATTGTTCATGTATTTATATTGATGAAACCAAACTAAAAACATCAATAAAAGCTTAGTATAAGTGATTCTCATACAAATAAAGAGCAATGGATCATGTGAGATATGCTTGGGGGAGTTTTACTTTTAGTAGTTAGTTCACGTAATTGTGTTGAAAAATCCCTAATGGAAGAAATACATGAAAGAGATAGTGATGCAATGATATTCAAATATTATAGTATAAACATTTTTTTGTTATTCATATTTAAAACGTAAGACATGGTGTCGTATGCACACTCGAGGTTGTTTATTTGCGAGTTTGGCATGACATGCAAGTTGCTATTGTGTATTACAAAAATATGTAGAAAGCTACTTCAACAATTGCATGTTTGAGAAACACATCCAAAAAATTCACAAAAACCATATGCAATTTATATATTTTCATTTTATATAAATGAAAAAACTTTCCAAAAAAATGTATTTATATATATTTTTTCATTTTATAAAATTTTATTTTATTTTAAAAGTATAAAATTAGTTTGTTAAGTAATATTTGTATTTAAATTAATTTTTTCAATCATGACACATGCTTCGTTTTATTTGTAATTCTAGTATATTTATATATAAAAATATTACTCAATGTTGATTCAGTGTTCATGCAAGCAATTAATTACATAATTCCAAGCAAATTGTCAATAACGGTTATGTACAATATCAATCTCGTGAATTCTTTGACATGCTATCGAGTAAAATCAAAATTAGTCCATTACTAACTTTTCTAAAATTTATTTTATTTTATCGTTTAGCTTTTTAACGTAAGGGATGATTTATGTGAAAAATGTTATTTTCGCCATAAGTCAGTGGAAGAAATTAGGGTTATTTTTTGTCATTTTGTTTAGGTGTTAATGAGTGACGTTTTGAAGAAAGGAGAAGACAACAAAACTATTCTGCATAAGGAAGCAACAATATTGACTATAAGTTTTACCAAATAAGAAAATAATTACTTTCTATAATCCATGGAATAAATGACCCAATCACACTTAAATTGAAAATCATAAGATAACGGTTAAAAATATGGGACCATCACTTTCATAAATTATGCTTCAAAATTAAATTATTTTACATGCATACTAAAAACTTATAACCTTTTGTATAACAAAATGCTAGTAAACTCTTAAAGATTGCTATGTGCTTTTAGAATGAGATTATTCTTTTAAAAAATGTCTTTAAAAGAAAATATTTATACAATTTTAGCTCTTTTTAACTCAATTTAAAACTTTTACTTCTTAGTTAAAAAAGTTAATCATTCAAATTCTTACTATTTCAATTACCCTCTCACTGATATATAGTAGTAGAATCACATGTTACATGTAAATAAACTATCATATCAATATTACAACCACATAAAATAAAAGGAAGAGTTAATTAACTTTTAACTTTATTTATAATAATTAACACAAAAACATATGTATAATCACAACTTTAACTTACATCAGCTCATCTAACAATCTTCCTTTTTGATAAAATGATTTTCACTAATCTCATCAGATATTGTTAACTCTTAAATAATATTTGTCGAATTTCATCACGTAATACCTTTTCTCCATTAGTCAATATCGTTTAAATATGAATATCTTGTATCAAATTTCTCATCTTAATATTCAAACAACACGTCAATAATTCAATGATAATTCCCCACATATGTAATTATCAGAGTAAAAATCACTTTACTGCTTAATCTAAACATATCATTCATTGATACTATATTCATTATCTTATGATTATTTATTTTGTCTTTTCCTTCACTAATGAGTCAATATTACTGTGCTCATTAGACCTGGTATTTTTTCCTTTTACAGTAAATATTAGTTTAAGAAGAAAAAAAGTGAACTAGTTTGGCCTGGTCCAACAACCTAAGTCGGAAAAAAAGTATCTGCTGAATAAAAAAAGTGGATAAAATAGGACCACTTTTTACTCATTTTTTTCCTCATTATATATATATATATATATATATATAATTGCTGTCTAAGTTTAAAATAAATGTAATATAATAAGGATAATTGTAGTGAGGAGATAGAATGTAAAATGAGGAACCTGAAAGTGAGGTGGTGAGAAAAAAAATGGATAAAAAGTGGTCCTATTTTATCCAATGGTTATATATACCACATATTATTTGAAGATTAATTCCTTTGTTTCTTATAAAAAGAATAATTGTTTTTTACATATTTATAAAATAATTTTACGTCTGTTATTTTTAACTACTTGAAAAATGTTAAATCCCTTTAAACTTCTTTTCATTAAAAAAAAATCCCAATAAAAAAAGTTAAAATAGAGTGAATTGAGAAATATTATATCTGAAACAAATTTGTGTTTACATAGCTCTTTTTCTTTCCCGACATTGAAAATGTTAAAATAGAAATTAATGCCTTATTAGAGCTATTAATTTTTGTTATACCTTTTTAAATGCATATAATGTATAGAAAATTATTCATTATTAACAACACAGAATTAGTCTTAAAGAAAATAACTATACTAACCAACAGCGACATTGAAAAATTAATTAATTATTATATCATATAATGTTCCACATCTCGAAAATGTTTTCGTCATAATTTGGTAAATATTCTACTCCGGGATCGTCACTTTTCAGAATCAACAGCAATATATAAAATATATTCAAAATTTGTATAAATATGACTTGAAATTTTTGATCCCAGATTTCTTTTCTCAGATTTCTTCCTAGTTTCAGATTTCAGAAAATCAGATTTTCTCTGCTAAAAACCCTACTGGGTCAATTAGAAAAAAAAAGCTTGATTCAGTCTTAGTTTTGAAGAAAGGGGATTTTCCTAGGGACCCAGTTTTTGTTTCAGTGCCGCACAATCGAATTTCTGTTGGCTTTTTCTAAGTGCACTTCTTCGATTTGATTTACCCCTGGTCCTGCCCACTTTGTTTTCCGTTTCTGTTCTAACAGTCACTGACAGAAAAGAAATCCGACAATTGGTTTTCTGTGCGTTGCTGAGTTGGAAGTGAGAGTGGCATTGCCAAAGTGCAATTCCATTGAAAGAAAGGAAGTTTTGATGAGAGGGCAATGAGAGGGGCGTGTGAGGATTCAGAGAGATTAAGATGAGTGGTGGGTCATTGGGTATTCGTTCTGGGAGTTATGGCTCTTTGGAGAAGCAGCTGCAGCTGCTGCAGCACAACGGTGTGTCTCCAATTCAATCAGCACGAAAGCCTCCCAAGACGCTGAAGGAGAAAGACAGGTTCTTCCTTTGGATCTTCAAGTTTGCGGGCAGAAAGAAGGTGGGAATGCTCTTTCTCTTTGCAATCTCTGCTGCCGTTTTCATCTGGGTTTTGTACATTGGAAAAGGTTCCCCACTTTCTCTTCTTCCTTTTTAGTAATTAATAATGATGTGATTGTGTTACTCTTTTAAGCTGCATGGGAAACATCAAACATGAGTTCGAATTTGATTGATTGGTTATAGACTTGTAGGGATGCATCATGCATGCCACTTGTCTTGGTAAGGTGGAGGAAGGAAATCTGTTTTCGTGTTTCACATGATTTAGTTTTTGTGATTTGGCTTGCTTACAGGTGAAGATTCACAGGAGGGAAACGGTGTGC